ATGATTTTACGATAGAACATGTTAAAATACACAAAATATAACAGTTTTGAGAAACTTACTTGAAGTCACAAATTCGATGATTTTACGATCGAACATGTTAAAATATACAAAATATAACAGTTTTGAAAAACTAACTTGAGGTCACAAATTCGATGATTTTACGATCGAACATGTTAAAATACACAAAATATAACAGTTTTGAGAAACTTACTTGAAGTCACAAATTCGATGATTTTACGATCGAACATGTTAAAATACACAAAATATAACAGTTTTGAGAACTTACTTGAAATCACAAATTCGATGATTTTACGATCGAACATGTTAAAATGCACAAAATATAACAGTTTTGAAAAACTTACTTGAAGTCACAAATTCGATGATTTTACGATCGAACATGTTAAAATACACAAAATATGACAGTTTTGAAAAACTTACTTGAAGTCACAATTTCGATGGTTTTGCGATCGAACATGTTAAAATACACAAAATATAACAGTTTTGAGAAACTTACTTGAAGTCACAAATTCCATGATTTTACGATCGAACATGTTAAAATACACAAAATATGACAGTTTTGAGAAACTTACTTGAAGTCACAAATTCGATGATTTTACGATCGAACATGTTAAAATACACAAAATATAACAGTTTTGAGAAACTTACTTGAAGTCACAAATTCGATGATTTTACGATCGAACATGTTAAAATACACAAAATATAACAGTTTTGAGAAACTTACTTGAAGTCACAAATGCGATGATTTTACGATCGAACATGTTAAAATACACAAAATATAACAGCTTTGAGAGACTTACTTGAAGTCACAAATTCGATGATCTTACGATCGAACATGTTAAAATACACAAAATATAACAGTTTTGAGAAACTTACTTGAAGTCACAAATTCGATGATTTTACGATTGAACATGTTAAAATACACAAAATATAACAGTTTTGAGAAACTTACTTGAAGTCACAAATTCGATGATTTTGCGATCGAACATGTTAAAATACACAAAATATAACAGTTTTGAAAAACTTACTTGAAGTCACAAATTCGATGATCTTACGATCGAACATGTTAAAATACACAAAATATAACAGTTTTGAGAAACTTACTTGAAGTCACAAATTCGATGATTTTACGAACGAACATGTTAAAATACACAAAATATAACAGTTCTGAAAAACTTACTTGAAGTCACAAATTCGATGGTTTTACGATCGAACATGATAAAATACACAAAATATAACAGTTTTGAAAAACTTACTTGAAGTCACAAATTCGATGATTTTACGATCGAACATGTTAAAATACACAAAATATAACAGTTTTGAAAAACTTACTTGAAGTCACAAATTCGATGGTTTTACGATCGTACATGTTAAAATACACAAAATATAACAGTTTTGAAAAACTTACTTGAAGTGACAAATTCGATGGTTTCACGATCGTTCATGTTAAAATACACAAAATATAACAGTTTTGAGAAACTTACTTGAAGTATCAAATTCGATGAATTTACGATCGAACATGTTAAAATACACAAAATATAACAGTTTTGAAAAACTTACTTGAAGTCACAAATTCGATGATCTTACGATCGAACATGTCAAAATACGCAAAATATAACAGTTTTGAGAAACTTACTTGAAGTATCAAATTCGATGATTTACGATCGAACATGTTAAAATACACAAAATATAACAGTTTTGAAAAACTTACTTGAAGTCACAAATTCGATGATTTTACGATCAAACATGATAAAAAATACAAAATATAACAGTTTGGAGAAACTTACTTGAAGTCACAAATTCGATGATTTTACGATCGAACATGTTAAAATACACAAAATATA